GGCTGGGGAGGGGGGAGGGGTCAGGGGAGGGGTCCCAGAACCCCCCCAAAATCCCCTCCAAAAAAAAAAAACAAACCCCCACGAGTTTACTCAAAAAAAACCACAAAGTTAAAAATTTACCCTTTTAAAATCCAATTTACCTCACAAAAAACCCCAAATTTATCCTTTTAAAATGTAAATTTATCTCCCAAAAAATCCCCCGAATCTACCCTTTTAAAATCCAAATTTACCTCCCAAAAAACCCCAAATTTACCCCAAAAAACACAAAAAATTTACCCACAAAAAATCCCCAAATTTACTCTCTTAAAATCCAAATTTATCCCCAAAAAACCTCCAAATTTACCCTTTTAAAATCCAAATTTACCTCCCAAAAAACCCCAAATTTATTCACAAATAAACCCAAATTTATCCCCCCAAAACCCCAAATTTACCCACAAAAATTTACTCCCCAAAATCCCAATTTTACCCCCAAACAAACCCAGAAATTCCCCCCTAAAACCCCTCAAAATTTCCTCCAAAACCCCCCAAATTTCCTTCCAAAAATCCCGATTTTACCCCACAAAAAAACCCCAAATTTACCCTCAAAATTGCCTCGGAAAAAAACCCAAAACTCACTCCCAAAAAAATCCAAATTTACCCCCAAAAAACCCCAAAATTCCCACCAAAAAAATTCCCAATTTTACCCCTCACAAAACCCCAAATTCCCCCTCACAAAACCCGAATTTACCCCGCAAAAAAAACCCAAATCCCCCCCAAAAAAAACCCAAATTTACCCGGAATTCCCCCCAAAATTCCCCCAAATCTCCCCCTCCCAACCTTCCCCACCCCCCCCTTTTCCCTCAAACCCCAAAATTCCCAAAATCCCCCCAAAAATTCCCAAAAATCCCCAAAATCCCTCCCAAAATCCGCCCCTCCCCCACCTCCTCCCGGAGCCGCCTCAGCGCGCGCGGGAAACTCCGAAAGCCCCGCCCCTTCCCTTACGTCACATCCGCTCCCCTCCGCGCGCCGGAAACGTCCCTAGAGCGACCCTGGGGAGCTCTTAATTAACCCCGATTAATTAATTACCGCGTTAATTACGCGAAAGGGGCGTGGATTGAGAGGGGGCGTGGTTAGGGCGGAAAGGCATGGCAGCGCGGGCTCATTTGCATATCGGGAGCGGCTTGGCGCCCCGCGATTGGTCGGCTTGAGGGGGCTGGTGGGCGTGGCCTGTCGGTTGTTGCCATGGCGACACTTCCGGTGCGGCCGACCGGAAGTGGCGGCGCTGCCGGGAGGCGCCGCCGGTACTGAGGGGAGGGGGGGGGGCGGGGGTCGAATTTTGGGAATTTTTGAGGGGAATTTTGGGAATTTTGAAAGGAATTTGGGAATTTTGAGGGGTCGGGACGCGGGGGGAAGCGAAGGGGGCGGGGAGGGGGGATCGGGAAGGGTTAAAAAGGAGCCGGGGGCGGAATTGGGGATTTTTTGGGAATTTTTTAGGAATTTTTTGAGGGGTTTTTGGGATTTTTTTTTTTGTTTTTCCTGAGTTTTTTTGGGAGAGATTTTAGGGATTTTTGGGGGTTTTTTTTTTTGGGATTTGTTTTTGTTTTTCCCGATTTTTTTCGGGAGGGATTGGAGGGATTTTTTTCTTGGGTTTTCTTTTGGGATTTTTTTGGCTTTTCCCGAATTTTTTGGGGTTTTTTTTTATAGTTTTTAAAAGGTTTCTTTTAGGGTATTTTCCGGTTTTTTCTTATTTCTTTTCAGGAGATTTTTGAGAGGTTTGGGGCATTTTTTTACTGAGATTTTTTTGTATTTTTTAAACTGATTTTTTTTTGATTTTTCAGGATTTTTTGGGGTTTTTTTGGAGGATTTGGAGTTTTTTCTTGGGAGGAGTTTTACGAACTTTTTGGGATTTATTTTTATTATTTTTATGAGGTTTTTGGGGGTGTTTTAAGGTTTATTTTTATTATTTTGGGGGGAATTTTAGGTTTTATTTTTATTACTCTTTGGGTTTTTTTTTGTGAGGATTTTACGAGACTTTTTTTAGTATTTATTTTTATTATTTTTGGGGTTTTTTTGGGTTAATTTTGTGAGGTTTTGGAGTTTTTTTGGGTTAATTTTGTGAGGTTTTGGGATTTTTTTGGTGGGAATTTTATGAGATTTTTAGGTTTTATTTTTATTATTTTTGGTTTTTTTTTAGGGGAAGTTTTATGACATTTTTTAGGGTTTATTTTTATTATTTTTGGGGGGGGTTTTTGGGGTAAAATTTGCGAGGTTTTGGGATTCCTTTAGTGGGAATTTGACGAGATTTTTTTAGTATTTATTTTTATTATTTTTGGGGTTTTTTTCCAGGTGAATTTCCTCAGATTTTGGGGTTTTTTTGGGTGAATTTCCTCAGATTTTGGGTTTTTTTTGGGTGAATTTTGTGAGGTTTTGGGGTTTTTTTGGGGGTGAATTTCCTCAGATTTTGTTTATTTTTTCCAGTTGTGATTTTCAGGATTTTTTCCAGCCTCAACCCCATCAGAAAATTCCCAAATTTTCAATTTTTTCTCCTTTTTTTTCCCCTTTTCCAGGAGCTCAGCGGATCCTCCCCTCCCCCAACATCCGGAACCTTCCGGGAGCTGCGAAATTCCCGAATTTTCCAACCCAAAAAAAATTCCCGAGGGAGCCTCTGGAATTCGGGGGGGGAGGGGGGAACCCCAGCGACCCCCCTCCCCCTGCAGCAGAACCAGGTAAATCCCGGCATTTAGCCCCAAAAAAACGGGAAAAAACGGAATTCCGGGAAATCCCAACGAGGTTTTATTCAAAAATTCGGGATTTTCCCCCAAAATTTGGGATTTTTACAAAAAAAATTGGGATTTTTACCCCAAAATTTGGGTTTTCTACCCAAAAATTCGGGGTTTTCCCCAAAAATTCGGGATTTTTACCCAAAAATTTGGGATTTTCCCCCAAAATTTGGGATTTTTACACAAAATTTGGGATTTTCCCCGAAAATTTGGGATTTCTACTCAAAAATTTGGGATTTTTACAAAAAAAATTGGGATTTTTTACCCAAAAATTTGGGTTTTCTACCCAAAAATTCAGGATTTTTCACAAAAATTTGGGATTTTTCCCCCAAAATTTGGGATTTTTACCCAAAAATTTGGGATTTTCCCCCAAAATTTGGGATTTTTACCCAAAATTCGGGATTTTTCCCAAAAATCTGAATTATTTTGGTGGTTTTTTAAAATTTTTTATCCTTTTTTTTCGTTTTTTTGGGAGATTTTTGGGGGGTTTTGGACGGAGGGAAAAATCGGGATTTAGGAGGAATTTTTTTGGGGAGAACCGAAATCCTCAAAAATTTGGGAATTTGGGTTTTTTCTCTCCTGAAATTGAGGAATTTGGGGATTTTTCCCTCTCAAAATTGAAGAATTTGGGCTTTTTCTTTCCCAAAGTTCAGGAATTTGGGGATTTTCCCGCCCAAAATTCAGGAATTTGGGGGTTTTTTTTCCTCCAAAATTGAGGAATTTGGGTTTTTTTTTCCCCAAAATTGAGGAATTTGGGCTTTTTCTTTCCCAAAATTCAGGATTTTGGTTGTTTTCCCTCCCAAAATTCCCGGCGGGAAGGGGGAAAAAAGCGGGAAAATACCACGGATTTGGGGAATTTTGGGATTTTTTTGGGATTCTTTGGGGATTTTTTGGGATTGACCCCATTGGCCGCCGCCCGGAGGGGCCGGAAAATCCCAGATTTTGCTGCCTCAGCACCTCCAGCCGCAGCTGGAGCCGCTTTTGGGGCAAAACTCCCGGGATTTGGGGCCGAAATTCCCGGAATTCCGCAGCAACTCCCAGAATTCCCCGTCAATTCCCAGGATTCGGGCTCAAATCCCGGGATTTCTCCTCAAATCCGGCGGATTTCGGGCTCAAATCCCAGAATTTCGGGCTCGGAACTTCCGGGGTTTCGCTGGGAACCTCCAGATTTGGGAGAAATCCGGGAATTCCGGGAAAATCCCAGCACTTCCCAGCCGACCCCCGACGGTAATTCCTCCCCTTCCCAAATTTCCCCCTCCAAATTCCACTTTTCCCACCTTTTTTCCCCCCTTCCCCACGGCTTTTCCGGGTTTTTTCGGGGCGTTTTCCGGGAATTTCGGGGTCGTTTCCCTTTCCCTTCCCTTCCCCGGGGGTTTCCCGGTGCTCCCACCCCTCTGGATCCCGTTTTTTTGGGATAAAATCCCGCTTTTCCGGGGTTTTCTCCGGCTCTTTAATTCGCTTTTTCCGCCGCCGACGTGGCCGGAGCGAAGTTTAACCCTTGAGTTTCTCCCGGATTCAGCAATCCCGGGAGTTTTTTCCCGGCTTTTTTTGGGAGATTTCCTGGTTTTTCCCAATTTTTTTAACTCTTCCCCTATTTTTATCCCCTTTTCCCTGGAGTTTTTTCCGTTTTTCCCGGTTTTTTGGAGCTTTCCTGGCTTTTTTCCCAATTTTTTTAACCCTTCCATATTTTTCTCCTCTTTTCCCTGGAGTTTTTTCCCGGTTTTTTTTTTTGACCAATCCTGGATTTTTTCCCACATTTTTCCTCTCCTTGTTTTGTTTTTTTTTTTAATTTATTTTCCCTCAATTCCCCTTTTTTCCCCCTCCCCTTTTTTCCTCTTTTTTTTCTTTTTTCCCTCTTTTTTTCTCCCTCTTTTTTCCCCTTTATTTCTCTTTTTTTTTCTTGTTTATTTCTCTTTTTTTCCTCCCTTTTTCCCCCCTTCCCAAACCCCAAATCCAGGGAATTTTTCCCACAAATTTAATCCCATTTTCCCCCCCGTTCCCCCCATTTTTTCCCCATTTCCCCCATTTTTATTCCAAATTTCCCCATTTTTCCCCCATTCCTGACACTTTTTTTTTCCCAATTTCCTCCATTTTTTTTCTCCATTTTCCCCCATTTCTGACCCATTTTTTCCCCCATTCCCGACCCATTTTTTCCCAATTTCCCCCTTTTTTCCTCCGTTTTCCCACATTTTTTTCCAATTTCCACCATTTTTTCCCCATTTTATCTCCATTCTCACCCATTTTTTTCCCCATTTCACCCATTTTTCCCCCATTTTTTTCCCCATTTTTTCCACCATTTCCCCCCATTCCTGACCCATTTTTCCCCCCATTTTTCCCCATTTCCCCCATTTTTTTTCCCCATTTTTCCCCATTTCCCCCCATTCTTGACCCATTTTTTCCCCCATTTTTTCCCCATTTCTTCCCCCCATTTTTTTCCCCATTTTTTCCCAATTTCCCCCGTTTTCCCCCCATTTTTAACCCCTTCTCCTCCTCCTCCTGCCCAGCCCCATGTGAAGGATGCTCAAGAAGACCACCCTTGCTCTGGCCGGGGCCGCGCTCTTCCTCGCCTGGAACTGCCTCCTCCTCCTCTTCCTCTGGAGCCGCCCCGCGTCCTTCCCGGCCCCTCCGGACATTCCGGAAAATTCCCGGCACCTCCCGGCGCAGCTGCTCCGCCTGGCCCAGGACGCCGAGTCCGAGCTCCGCCTCCAGCGCCAGCTCCTCCTCCAAATCCAACTCTCCTCCCGCCTCCGCCGCCAAAAAACCCCGAAACCGCCCCAAATCTCCACCCCTGCGCCGGATCCGGAATTCCCGGTGATCCCGGTGCTGGTCCTGGCCTGCGACCGCAGCTCCGTCCGGCGCTGCCTGGATAAAATCCTCCTGTACCGCCCCAGCGCCCGGCGCTTCCCGGTCATCGTCTCGCAGGACTGCGGCCACGCCGAGACGGCGGCGGTCATCGCCTCCTACGGCCGCGCCGTGGCTCACATCCGCCAGCCCGACCTCTCGGACGTGCCGGTGCCGCCGGAGCACCGCAAATTCCAGGGTTATTACCGGATCTCCCGGCACTACCGCTGGGCGCTGGGCCAGGTGTTCCGCACCTTCCGCTACCGCGCCGCCATCGTGGTGGAGGACGACCTGGAGGTGGCGCCGGATTTCTTCGAGTATTTCCAGGCGGTTCTGCCGCTCCTCCGGGGGGATCCCACGCTCTGGTGCGCCTCGGCGTGGAACGACAACGGCCGCGAGGGTCTGGTGGACGCGGCGCGCGCCGAGCTCCTGTACCGCACCGATTTCTTCCCCGGCTTGGGTTGGTTGTTGTTGGCGGAACTTTGGGAAGAGCTGGAGCCCAAATGGCCGGCGGCGTTTTGGGACGATTGGATGAGGCAGCCGGAGCAGCGGCGCGGCCGCTCCTGCGTCCGGCCGGAAGTGTCCAGGACGATGACCTTCGGCCGCAAGGGCGTCAGCCACGGGCAGTTCTTCGATCAGTACCTAAAGTTCATCAAACTCAACGACCGCTTCGTGCCTTTCACCCAAATGGACCTTTCTTACCTCAAAAAGGACGAGTACGAACGTTTCTTCATCCAGCAGGTTTATTCCGCTCCCGAAATCCAACTGGAGGAGCTCCAGAAAGGAACGGGGAGGGATTCGGGGCCGGTCAGGCTCCAGTATCGAGGCCGAGATTCCTTCAAGGTTTTGGCCAAAGCTTTGGGTTTGATGGACGACCTCAAATCCGGCGTCCCCCGCGCCGGTTACCGCGGCATCGTCAGCGTCGTGTGCCGGGGACGCCGCGTCTTCCTGGCGCCGCCCTCGGACTGGACGGGTTACGACCCCTCCTGGAGCTGATTTTGGGGGGGTTTCGGGGGTGAAATTGGGGGTTTTGCAGAATAAAAAGTGGAAAACGGGGGTTTCGCCCCAGAATTCCAGGTTTGCATCGCTGCCGCTCCCGTCGGTTTCATCCTTAAATTTTGGTGTTTTAAAAGTCCCCTCTGAGCCTGAATTTGGGGGTTTTGGGGTGGGTTTGGGACTCACAAGGTTAAAGTGGCTCAAACATGGCAGGAATTTTCCAGAATAAAAAGTGAAAAAAGGGGGATTCTCCCCCCGAATTCCAGGTTTGCATCACTGCTGCTCCCATCAGTTTCATCCTTAAATTTTGGTGTTTTGAAAGTCTCCTTCGAGCCTGAATTTGGGGGTTTTGGGGTGGATTCGGGCTGGATTTGGCACTCACCAGGTTAAAGCGGCTCAAACGGGGCAGGAATTTTCCAGAATAAAAGGTGAAAAATGGGGGATTCTCCCCCGAATTCCAGGTTTGTTTCGCTGCCGTGTCCATCTGAATTTCACCCCAAAATCCAGGCGTTCACAAAGTCCCTTTTGGGCTTAAAATCGGCTTTTTTTGGTGGTGG